CCCCCCCCCCCCCCCCCAAAAAAAAAAAAAAACCAAATGATTTAGAGGAAGAAAATCAGACCAACCATGAATTTTTTCAAACCTCAAAAGACATTTGCAATCTACGTTTCAGCAAAAAGCATATAACCAGAAGGCTGAGAAGATAAAAGATAAATAGGTTTCCCATGCACCCTATATAAAAAACCCATAGATTAAACTTGCATATATGTTACTTGCCCCCTCTGGGATAGGAGGAAAGGAGAAAGCACCATACCGAGAAGGAAAGTTCTTAAAAAGCAGAGAAATGTACTCCTTTACCTTCTACGATCAAGATCACTTTGTGGCCTTTCTGGCATTTTATGCTCATCAAGATAGATGACCCCATTCCTTTTATGCACTCCCATTTCCCAAGGCTCGTGCCTGACACAAGCAGTTGCTAGTATCTACAGATACAAGAATAGGAGCAATTAACTTTTATTATAGGAGTTTGCATGATTAAACCTTAGAGACCGGGTTCATCAACATTAAGTATACAGCTCCATGACAAAGAAAGAATATTATAAGAAAATCAAAAGGAATATAACCGGGATGATCAACATGAAGTATTCAGGTCCATGACAAAGAAAGAAATATTGTAAGAAATTCAGAAGGATTATATACTGACAAAAATATTCATATGTAATAAAAAAGGTTCACATTTCAAAACAGATGAAACTTTGCTACAGAAAAATCATTCAACCATCTAGCTAGATCCAAAAGTGTAAACATAGGCATTTTGTTTAATGATTATGAATTATCACTATAGGATTTAATCAAGGTTCTTTCTCAAGTACACATCACTTCCTCAGTCATGAATGAGCTTTTTTTTTTTTTTGGATAAGTAATCATTTCATTTTATTAATAAATAGGATAATACATGGGGGGTGTATTATCAAAATAAACAAGAAAGAAAAAGACATGAAGATAGGCAACTCTTCTATATGATTAGTTGTCACAACATTAAACAAAGTATACAAAGTCATATAAAACAATTCTTTAAACTGTTATGTTGTCTTTGTTTGGTCTTCAAAACAGCGGTTGTTCCGTTTTCTCCACACACATCATACAATGTATCCCGGAATAAGACTCCACACAAGTCTCCTACCCTTGTCTTGAAATTTTCTCCTCCATGCCCGCAACACGTCTTCTATGCGCCTTGGCATCACCCAATTCAAATGTTGGGAAGCTAGAATATCGTTCCACAGCCGCCGAACGCCATTACAATGAATAAACAAATGGTCAATTATTTCCCCATCTCTCTTACACATAACACCACTCAATAACACAAAAGCCTTTTCTTCGAAGATTGTCTATCGTTAACGCCTGCCCCCTCACAATCGTTCATAATAAGAAAGCCATTTGTGGAGGTAGTTTACATTGCTACACCATCTTCCAGGGAAAAGAACTCTCTATCGGGCCGAATATGGTTCTAAAATATGTGCGAACTGAAAAAATACCATCCCGTGCCAACGTCCACCTGCTATGATCACTCTCTCCTACCTGAATATGCACCTCGTGCAAGAAAGTAAAAAACAATGCATAATCATCAAATTTCCAATCCTATAGTCCCCTCTCAAAAGCAATATTCCAGCTATAACTTCCATGATGCACGGTTATTACATCATTCACCATAGCAGACGGTTTCATGGCAATGCGGTGCAAAGAAGGAAATCTTGCCTTTAGTGGACTATCTCCACACCATCAATCATCCTAAAATTTGATACTAATTGTCATTCCCCATCACATAAGTCAGTTTATCTCGAAATTCATTCCATCCTCGTCGGATATACTTCCACAGACTCACCCTATAAGATCCACGACTCTCGCTTGAGCACCAACCCCCTTCCATCACACCATACTCCGCTCCTATTATTCCTCTCCAAAAACTCTCATCTCCACTCCAAATCGCCACAATTACTTACCCAATAAAGCCTTATTAAGCAAAACAAGGCTTTTTAATCCAAGGCCCCCCATCCTTACAGGAGAACAAACCACAGCCCAATTAACCAGATGAAATTTCCTCTCTTTCCCTAACCCTGCCCAAAGAAACTCCCTTTGAATCATCTCTAATCTATTTGCAACTGTAATAGGAATGGGAAACAATGACAAGAAATAAGTTGGGATATTAGTGGATTTAATGAGAGTAAGAAAGCCTCCCTTTGAGAGGTACATATGCTTCCACCTAGCTAACCTCTTCTCCACCCTTTTGACAATTCCGCTCCAAATATTTTTACATTTAAACCTTGCCCCTAAAGGAAGCCCAAGGTATGACATGGGTAATAGCACAACCCTGCAACCCAATATATTGGCCAACTAATCCACGTTAGCAACCTCCCCCACTGGAATAGCTTAAGATTTCCCTAGATTAATTTTCAATCCTAACACCGCTTCAAAGAATAGTAGTAGTCGATGCAAGTTCCTGAATTGCTCATTATCTGCATCGCATAGAATCAGTGTATCATTTGTAAATAACAAATGGGAGACCTGTAAGTGTCCAACCGTAAAGTCCCTTATCAAACCTTCTTCCACAACTTTCTCAAGCATCCTACTGAGTGCCTCCATAACAATTACAAACATCAATGGAGACAAGGGATCCCTTTGCCTCAAAACTCTGCTGCTTTGAAAATGAACCTCTGAGGTGTTATTGACCAAAATTGAGAACGAAACAGTAGAGATGCAAAATTGAATTCACTTACACCACTTTTCCCAAAGCCACATCTCCTGAGCGTGTACATAAGGAACTCTCAGTTCACGTGATCATAGGCCTTCTGACCATCGAGCTTGCATAACATCCCTGGCACCCCCAAACGTAATTTAGAGACAAACGCATTCATTCGCTATAAACACAGAATCCAAAATCTATCTTCCTTTTACAAAAGCATTCTGACACTTAGTCACCACTTTCCCAAGCACCTCCTACAATCTATTTGCCAGAATCTTCACAATAATCTTGTATGTCCTGCTAACTAAGCTAGTAGGGCAAAAATTCTTAAAATCAACTGCTCTCGGTTTCTTGGGAATCAACATAATGAATGTAGCATTAGAACTTCTCAAAAACAGGCCGTACTCAAAAAAATAAGTCAAAACATCTATAATGTCCAACCGCACCACCTCCCAACATGTCTTATAAAACGCGAACGAGAAGCCGTCTCGTCCTGGTGCCTTATCATCATTCATGCTGAAAACCACCTTATTGATTTCGTCTTCCTCAAATGGTTCTCTAACCAATTGGCATCCTCCTTCATGATAGTAGAAAAGCCTAGTCCATCCACCTTTGGCCTCCAGTCAAACTGTTCCCGATAGAGATTTTGATAGAATCTCACCATTTGATTCCCTATATCCTGCGGGTCCTCATAAGTATCCCCATCAACCTCTAACAAAGTGATAGAGTTGTTGCGCCTGTTAGAATTAGCGAATCTATGAAAAAATTTGGTGCATTTCTGATGCCAAGCAATCTCCTCCATCTCCACTAATCTCTCCAACTCTCCCCTTAAAGCTGCACAACTCTCTCTCTCCCCTACCCAACCAATCCTCGACTTTTCTCCCACCTATCCAGCTCTTCTATTTTTGGAATGCATTGAGTTTTACGTCAATTAACATCTCCCACCACTTCATTCCACCTCATTAGATCCCTCTTCAGGGCTTTTAATTTCCAATCCAATACATAACTGGGAGACCCGCTGAATTTATAAGATGTCCACCAATCCCGTATTTGCTCTCCAAAGCCATCTACTTTTAACCATATCTTTTCAAATCTAAAAGGCCTTCTTCCACTACACCTCACATTCCCCGATAACAGAATAGGGAAATGATCAGAATACACCCTCCCCAATCTCCTTTGAGTGACCTCTGAATATTTGGCCTCCTACTCCCCACTAATAAAAAAGTGATTTATTCAAGACAAAACAAGTTGATCCCAATTAGATGACCAAGTGAAGTCTCCTCCAATCAAGGCATGTCTACCAACATATTTTCTCTAATAAAATTTGAGAAATCCTCCATTGCCTCTGTTAATCTCCCGCAGCTAGACCTCTCAGTAGGAAACCAAACTACATTAAAATCTCCCCCGATGCGTGTTGGAATGTTCCACCAAGCCATCATCCCAACCAACTCATCCCACAATCCACCTCTACTCTCATCAACATTAGGCTTGTAAACTCCTATAAACATCCAACGGAATCCATCCCCAATATTTCTGAACGAAAGCGACGAGAAAAATAGCCCTTCACTGATCTCTTTCATATTAAGAACTCTAGTATCCCACATGACTAACACACTTCCTGAAGTCTCCCATGACCCCATATATTGATACCAGATATGTTGTCCCCCCATAAACTACTAACAATCACCCTCGAGATGAACTCCAACTTAGTTTCTTGTAAGCAAACAAGACCCGCCATCCATTCCCTTAACAGGTTTTGAACACCTAACATTTTCCCCACTACATTAAGCCCCCTCACGTTCTAACTAATTATTTTTGAGATCATCTTGACGCTGTCTATACAGACCCACATCCTACAAGCTTAAGTAATTCATCCATCTCCCCTTTCAACGACTGGACACGAGCCCTTATTTGGACGGTATTCAATAAACTATCTGAACTTTTTGCACATACTGCCTTAGGCAACATAATGTCACCTTCATTTTCACCCACAGTAACTACATTCTCCTTTCACCTTAGCACCCTTCGATCAACATTCCGCGAGGCTTGTATGTTTGCTGTAACTTCGGCATAGGTCATCCCTTGCCGACTTCGTTCGTTCATCATGCAACATTTGGCCTTATCTTCAACAACAAATGAATCTACTACTACTTGAAACACCCACGAGATTGATGCTCATTCTTCTCCATTCGCACCTTCTGGCACCATCACAACTCCCTTCCGACGCCTATCCCCATACTGAGCTATCATCAAGTACCTACCACGACTGCTCACACATTATTGTGCCAAGAAGGCTCTTGATGACTCATTGAACCTGGAGACGAAATCCTCCAACCTATTAGTCATCCTCAACTTGTCCACCATATTTACCAATTATCCAAAGTGCGTCGAACCTTCCCATATAGATTGAGTTCAATATCTTCGAGCCCCACTCAGTCATCCTAACAACACCAACATAGAATACATGTAATGCCACTAGTAGTAATAAAGAGAATAACAAATTTACAAAACAAGATCGTGTTATACCTAAAAGCTATTGTTTTTGAAATTAGGTCCAAGTATTAACAAAGATGTATGAATTAAAAAGAATGTAATGCATCTGATTAGAGAGGGTCGAATGAAATGGACGTGCTACACGAACTCCATGTCATAAAAAAATGACTATTAAGGTTAAAAATCATTTCTAAAGAACAATTATCAGACCTTGGTTGTATAGTTACAATATGAGGAGCTTTGGGCGCACTTGAGTTCTGATGTTGCGGTAAGAAGAATATTTTGAAACCGCTAAACCCATTTCCCAAAATAAACCTTGTAGTCAAGTCCAATTTTAGGAATCTACCAAAGAATAGGATCTAACTTTAATCTCTTGGACATTTTGATTAACACTTTAGTTGCTCCTGTCCATTGACTAAACCAAATAAGTTATCATTGATGGGAGATATCCAACATGTAGTAGAATTCAAAATTAAAGCACCTTATCTTCGCTACTATAGGATAAATAGTGCAAAGACGGGTAGAATGTATAAAGCTCCTAAAATTTTTGGAAGCAATGACCCATGTTATATGACCATTAATTGGGAAATCCATGTCTATTTCCATGGTCTTATTTTTAGTAAGTTGAAGCAACAACATTAACATCGCCTTACAAGGTGCTCACACCCTTAGAGCCAAGAATTGTATGCCAACCTTTAGAAGTGTTCCAGCATATTGCCTCTTATGTGGTTAATTATGGGTTTTAGTGCCATCATTTCCCATATTATTAAGTGCAAGAAGAGAGAATTTCATTATTAAGTAGGATTGAGATTTCCCTCTAATCGTGTTTCTCTTTATTTACATTCTTCTCCAGATCTCTCTCTCTCTCTCTCTCTCTCTCTCTCTCTCTCTCTCTCTCTCTCTCTCTCTCTCTCTCGGGCAAAGGAACTTACATATGTATTCAAATGTCCATTCCCGTATTTCCATAAATTGTATGGACTCTCTCTCTCTATTAAACTTCAGTTTGGCCCCGATTTCTTAAAATTCAACTTTTTCAAAATTCATATTCAACCACACATTTCATGGACCCACATCTTTTATCAACTTCTCAACCACCCATTTCACCAACTTTTCTTAAAATCTACTACATATATAATTTTTATCCAAATCAAATAGGGGCTAAGTATTACTTGGTGTGTTTAGACGGAGAGAATTCTGAAAATTTTCTAGCAACAAGCTTCACTATTTGATTTGTTATGTGATAAAGTATTTATGTTTGCACAGTTATGAGCTTTGGTTGACTTATAAAGGTAGCTGAGAGAGAAATTAATCTAATGAGTTTATGCTTTGCAACTATAAAACTGTGTTCTTGATGATCTTCGCGTCTTCCTCTTCGCACTTTATGCTTTTTAATAATCTGTTTTTATATAAAGAACTTAAAAAAAGTCTTCAAATGATGAAAAGATATTATTGTTACACAGGAGAAAGTTAGTTTCCTCTCCTTTAACTGATCTACAATCGCGATCCCATAGTTTTCTGGGTTTCCAGACAGAGCTGAAATATGTAAAACTAAAGGAAAATATTAAAGCAGCATAGGAGTTACCTTATTAAGGTTGTTACGATATGTCTGCAATGAAAATGAAGTCATGGAAAAATAATGAAGTAAGTGATCTCAAAGCACATTCTTGGTGCATGATAGCTGGTTATATAGCACAAGTCTTACCACAAAGTGCATGTTTTGTAAAGGAATACTTTTATTTCTTATACAAGTGAGAAGGTCTCCAAAACCCTGAGAACCTAAATCTGGTGTGAAAGCATAGCATTGACAGTACAAATCAGTGGATACTATAAAATAAACGAAACTAGAATTAAAATCTCAGTCCGTGAGAAGAACTGTATACCATTTCATTCTGTTTGATAGCACCATACCTTTTTTTCTCAATGTAAGTATCAAAACCTTCATTCAAGTCAGCCCCAATATCTTCAGTGATAAGACGCTTAAATAGCCTCTAAAAATGTGGAAGACAGATCCAGATGAGCTGAAAATTAACATTCAGTGAAACTTTATCGAAAGAGGAAACAAATGCTCACCAAACTGCGATCATCAAAGAAAACATCTCCACCTTCAACCCGACTATAGCAAGCAAGTTCAGATGGCTAGTATGCAAAATCATCAAAGAGAATGTATCAGAAAACATACCCCAAATTCATTAATATCTAAAACATGTGTGAATGAAATTATAAGCCTTACTACCCCAATTCCCCACCCTTAATTGCTCAGTGTAAAGCTCCTTCCACTTTTATTCTCTTCTTATCCCTAAAGGAAAGAAGGGGGACCAAGGGAATCTTTCAAATATTACTTTTATAAATACTGAAAAAATATTATTAAGAAAAGGCAAGCCAAACCATATCTTACCATGTTCCTCCTGCCAAGACCGTACCCCTCACTTCCATCATTCCTACCACCACTCACATACCCTATTCCCTCTCAGACAGATGCATGCATGTGAGTGCCGGAGAGCATACAAAATCTTTAATTTCTGAGTCAACAAAGTCCAATTTACTAGAGCATACAGTGCTTCGAAAGTATCTAGAAGCAACTAGTGCCTCATTTGATAATCCATGAATATAACAACCAATGCTCAAAGAGGTTTACTTGGGTAAAAAAGTGCTTTTCCTTCATTAAGCGAGGCGCAAGCCTCAAGGCATTCTGAGGCTTAAACCACATCGTAAGCCATTAATAAATAAATAAATAAATAAAAAAAGAAGCACATAATACATCATAAACAATCTTCAAAATCCATAATAGAGCATTTAAAGTGCGCAAATTTAATTTTAAAAAAAAACATCTATAAAGAATATATTACTTTAGTTGGTAGGGGCCGTGGACCATTCTCAAAGTTGGTCTACGAGAAACATGATTTTTTATGTTTTAGTGGACAATGGTCTCAGAATGGCTCAATCAAAATTTTTATGTTTGTAGATCACAGGGTGCTGTGAGGCGTGTGCTTCACACACATGAGACGTACACCTCTAAAAATTGCCTTGCAATCAGCTCCTTGAGGCATTTTTTGTACACCTCACTCCTCTGACGCAGGCCTTAAAGCGGGTTTCAATTGAATTTTTTTAAACCATGATAACAACTATTTAAGCATGCAATTTACCAAATTCAAAATCACACTAAAGATTTTAGTCGATGCAAGCATCTTATTACAAGCTCTACAGAACACCAAGGTGTACTTTGACCTTGTCAAGACTTGCCAGTTATGAGGAAGAGAGTCATTCTTACCTCCTGAAAGGTTGTACATTTCCTTGCTAAAGTTTCTTCACTCTTAGAGAATTTCAATTCAGAAACAAGACGCTCATCCTGAGGGCCATTAAAGAACTTGTTACCATAACCATAGTTTTGCCTTTGTGGATAAGGACCAGGTCGGGGAAGGAGACCAGGTCCTCTATCATTTTGCCAACGGCCACGTCCATAACCCCCTCTTGTATGGTTGTTTGTATTACGTATGGCTGGGAGAACTGAAAATACAAAATAAGGCAAAAAAGGAAATACATTAAGGTTTTGTATTAAGCATTCAAGCATTATAAGCTCTTTAAATCAGATTAATGGGTTATTCTAATATAGCGTGTTCAGATGTTGAATGAACTCTCTTTCCCCTTTAATTTGATTGTGCAAGATTATTGGCTGATATAGGTAAACAAAGCAAATTCTCGAAAAGTAACCTGAAGTTTACACTCCAGTACATACATATGGTTACCAAATATGATGGCCTAAACATAGTCAGTTTATCGTGGTCTCAGTAAATTCCAATAATCCAATTACTAATTGCATTTTTTAGACATGGTAGTACTAATTAATAGCAAAATGCACCAAAACACTCCTCTTGATCAAGTATTACTGCATCTTGGATCTATACATTTTTAGTTAAGTCTAGCTTGAAGACACTTCCCAAGTTTGTTGAAATAACCTCATACTTCAAATTTACTCATAAAGAACATCTATTCATCAGTGTAACACAACAAACATTACAATTGGTATTTGCAAACTTATTGGTCACAATAATTTCCCCTTCACTCCTGGCAGTGGTGGATCCAGCACTTGGCGAGCCCCAGTGGCCGACTGTGCTGGATATGCCGGGAGGATTTTTTTCTGTTGGGAATAGATTAAATTTTAAGCTTATATTACTGGTATTTCGTTTAAGTCTCAGTCGTGGCTTCTAACTCAGTTGATTGGAGCTTGTATGTTTATGTTGGATGTTTCATGTTCAAATCCCCTTGCTAGCAAAATTTATTTTACAATGCTTTTATTCTGCATTGTTTACAAAAATTCAATAGGAACTGGACCAAAGGGGTTTCGAACTCGGGTCCTCCTTGATAGAGGTATTGGAGTTTGACCATTACAACACTTGTTGGTTGCTATCATTGTGTTGAACAAAGTAATATTTGTTAGGTTTTATTTGGTTTGCAAGTACAATTACAAAGATTCGAACCCATGCTTTTCCTTTAAATTATACAAAACTTGGCAACAATGACATTCGATGAGTCCAATTTATTCTTATAAGAAAATTAGATATATTCAATTTGAACAAAATAACTGTTATATTTAAACTTTAGACCTTGCTTGATTTTCATTTTTTTCAAAATATATTTTTTCTCTTCTTTTTAACCACACATTTTTCAATAAAATAATATTACATGCAAATTCAAAACTTCTATTTATTTTTAGCCACACATTCTCCATCAAATTACCATTTCAAAATGTATTTTTTGCGAAAAAAACGCAATAAATAAATAAATGGTATCAAACCGACTCTTAATATTTTATTGCGGTTGAACGGTCGATGACCGCCCGTGCTGGGTTGAACTTCTGGGTTCGCCCTTGACTCCTGGTAATACAAGAATGGGCACAATACAGTTTATCAGCCCAAATTATCTTTATCATTTCCCTTTCTCTCTCTTTTTTCTATTTACTCAGCCTTCAATCCAACTCTAGCATACAACCTATGTAATTGAGCACTCATGTCAAATGATTTCCTTCACATCAAAAGCCTCTGAAAAGACAATAATTGACAGAAATTTGTCTACGAATGCTGCTAATTAATCCCGTATCTTCCCTATTAAATTCAGTATGCTGATAACCTAACTGTTTGACACAATACATGAATCTCAACACTCACCCCTCAATGCAGCTTCAAAATCTAAAAAACGGAGCAATCAATAGAAACAAAGTGCATATGCTTTCAATGATATAATTTAGAACAGCCAAAATATAAAGTTACACTATAAAAACACAAAAAGATAATGCTTCGAAACTGTAAAAGGGTGTTTGTAATCTGCTCGAGCCAGTGGAAACAAAAGGGAATGAAAATCATTAGGGAGTCCATTTCATATCTTGTTAGAAAACCCAAAAACGTTGAAGCAATAATTAGACTAGTAAATATATTACTTGAACTGGGAGCCTTCGAATCAGAGTATAATATCCAGGAAGGGCAATGCAAGAAAACAATCCACACAAAATCCAAAATGAAGCAACTTCAAACCCCAAATTAACGAATCGAAAACCTCCCTTAAAATCAATCTTTCAAAAAAGTAAAAGGACAGTATTCAATAAGAGACAGAAAAATATAAATACCAGGCACGGGGTAGGGACTAATGGCAGGAGTTTTCACATAACCCTCATTATCAGGGCCAAACAGATCCGTTTCATCCTCAACCTCTTCGTTCTCCTCCTCATTCTCATGATAGTAACTGTTTCTATTATCATTATTATTATAAGAAGACCTCACTTCGCCATGTTTATCGTCATTGTCATCGTCGCTGCAGCTAGGACTCGCACTTCTGCTCCGACTGTCGGACGAGGAGGATCCGGATGTGGCCCACGATGACCCAACAGACGATGAGGAAGAATATGAGGAGGGCGATGATGATGAGCTCTGTTGTTGCTCCTTTTCTTCATTATCCGCTTCTCGTTCTTCACCGTAGTTTGAATAGTTATTGTTATTCTCGTCATCTTCAAAATCTTCATCTTCTCCAAATAAGTTCAGGGCTTGCTCTGCAAAGTCCATCTTCTTCCTCCTGCTGCTGCTACTTCTGGTTCTCGGTTTGTGGGGTTGGGTGGAGTGGGTTGAGGAGGGATGCTCTCTGTAGATTGTGATTCTTTTGGAATTTTGAGGATGTCATTTTATATTTTTATATTGTTGCCAAAAGCAAAGTATTCCATTAGTTCAAATAGTCAATAACAAAAGACCTTATAAAGTTCAGGATACAATCACTCGTGTAATTAATTAGGGAACAAAATCGCAATAGAAGCTAAATTGTGTTGTAGAGAACTAGATGCAACTTCGGAATTGGAACATCATGAACTTATTGCTTTTCCTCACACTTGGCATCGTTATAATTTTCTGCAAAGAACAATTCTATTTGGAGAGCCATGGCTCTGTAATGGCCCGAGCAACGCCCCTCCCAAATGTTAACCATCTCCTGGTGATCCCTCATCAATGCTTCAAATTCAAAGCAATTATTCTACACAATTGCATTTGTATTTAGTTTAAAGTCATCCAACAATCAGACGTAGCCAACTGCTACCCTCGCCTATTATAGATCACCAAATTTCTCTCCCAGTATAACACTTCCACTTACAGACTCAAGCACAATCTATCATGCAGTGGTACCAAAGGCAAGATATCGTGTGTTTCTATTGGAGAGCGTAGATTTTTGGCTCACAGACCACGAACCCTATTTCAAGCAATAATGAAGGTTGAACTACACAGATCATGAGGTCATGATTATGATCATCTTAGTATCCTAAAGCATAATGCTGTAGTAAATTCTATTTGTTTGCGCACAACTTTTATCTCAGATGTGGGAATATAATTTGAAAAAAGGAAGATTTTATATAGCATGTTTTTATTGCACAATCTTTATATCTAAAACAAAATGGATAGGTAATCACTACATCTGTGTTCTTAATAGAAGGGAAGCAGCAAAGAGCAAAGCCAACTATTATTGGGGAGAGCTTGATGGCAGAAAAATATTAAATGAACCAACTAATCAATGAACAATTATGTAGGCACAAATTTACGTAAAGTTAAAATAAACATATCAGAGTCACCCAACTTTTCACTTAGTAATTACTCCCCAAGTTCAATTTTTTCTTTTTTCCTTTTTTGAGAAAAAAAAAAAACAAAAACAAAAACACTGTTTCCAATGAGAACCAGCTGATTCCGTAGAAGGCAAGGATGACAGTAAGTTCAAAAGCCAGCCAACCACGATTCCGATGAGTCCTACAAAAACTGCAAATATAATGGAGATACCTGGATCACTCGCTTTATTGACTTCTTTGATCTTTAAGAATTTCCTACAAATGAGAAACAAAAATGGTGGAAATCACTCTAAGATGGCAAAGCTAAGTTCAATAGTTAAAAGGAATATACAGCTTGCATATGCCTCCATAATTCATAGTCAATCTCACACTGATAAAGAAAATAGTAATGAGGATGTGATGAGCAATGGTAACGAAGTATAGGTAACTAAAGTGAAACCATTCATGTTTTTTGCTGATGTACATCATAACCTCAATGCCTCGAAGTACACTAATCTGAATGCATAAAACGGCAAATTCTGTGAACCCAACTTTAACAACCTCGGCATCATCATCCCACCCTCAATGAAAGATAAATGAAAACAAAATAGAAATAAAAAATATGTGAAACAAGATTCGTATTTAACTTTTGAACAGGCTTTCAATGAACTTTGTTAGAATATATCTGTGTACAGTTTGGATGATATAACTGTGCATCGCAAGTAACAAAGCCCACACACTTCAATTTTTGTTCATTCTAAGTTCGCTCTAAAGTTATATGCAATACAACTTAGGATGATAGAAACAAACCAAATTTAAATAATGCCTGATTAGGTCGTGGAGCTTAGAGTTCAAATCCAGATAGTCAAACATCTCGTCTGAGGATTTGCGGTGGAGTTTGAATAATCCCTGTCAACTGCAGAAAATTTGAAATATGTAGAAGGTCATTGGATTTACAAAGGAGTGTAGTAAGATGATTGTCGGTTTGAATCCCTTGAGTTCTTTGAAAGCAACAACAACAAAAAAATATTTGATATATTTTGATTTAAAGATACAGAAAAACCAGATACGAATGCTATTTTTCAGTCAGGTTAAAATCAAATAGCACTGAAAATATAAATGTGATCCTGTGCAAGTATCTCCGTGCATGCACAAGGAATTGGCATTTGAATGCAATTTGTGCTAGTGCAAGCTTGTGCATGATTCATCTCATAAAGTGTGCGTGTGAGGGTGAAAAACATACTGAAATAAATCTAAGTAACCCTGTCCATCAAAGGCATCTGTGGCAAGTGCTGAAATTTTGTATGTTTGAGTTAACTGTGCTACTATCACAATCTCTCGAGCCACTTGACCTTCCATTTCTTCAATTTCTGAATTTAGTGTCTTCAATTTACCTTTGTGTAGTATTATATATTTCCTCTCATTATTACTGTTATCCATTAGCTTTTCCTTTTCATCCATGAAATTTAATACTTCACCAACTGTAATGGCATTTTTTATTTCAACAAGTCGATAATATTGCCATTTTTACACGAGTTTCACACAATTTTAACTTGATTGGTTAATATATCTGATGAATATAGAACATTTTGAATGTTTTTGTTAGTGTTACTTTGAAAATTAGGAGAGATGGTGTAAAAAGAGATAATAAGGTAGATAAAGAAATCGAAATAAAAAATAATTTGGAAGAGAAACTCAGCGCCCTGGCATTGCATTCGTAGCACCCAAGCGCTACGATTAGTAGAATGAAACAGTTTTTGAATAGAAAGGCAACACCTAGGCGCTGCACTCATAGCACCCAGGCGCTACTTTCTAGCACTTAGGCACTGCGCTATTTTTTTAGAGTTACTCCATTTTGGCTCGTGAAAAGCTTATAAAGACTCCAAATTTGGTGAGGATGTGACGATGAGTATAAGAATAAGAATTGAGGACTTCAAAAGGAGATTTTAGACATTGAGAGGCACAATGTACGACGTGAAATTTCCAGAGAAAATCAAAAGGAAGGAAAGAAGAAATCAAGATCTAGGTTTTGAAGTCAAGTTGGAGGTAAAAAGAGAACTTGATCCAAGATTTATTATCTTTTCTACATCTCGATTCAAAACTTGGTATGTGCTTAATGTAAATCTTTGGTTTTCCTTCCAATATCATGAATAGTTAAATTTAATATTATGGCAAACAATGTAATTTATTGATCCTTTATTTCTTTTATTTAAGATTCTTATTCTTTTATTTTTCATGTGTTGATTTTACTGTGGCTTTGTTTGATCCACATTCTTTAAAATAAATAAATAAAATAAAATTCTTAAACAGTAATTTAACAATATTTCAACTATATATTTTTCAATAAAATAATATTATACGCAAATCCAAATCTTTAAATCCACATATTTTTCATCAATACACTATTCAAAATGCATTCTAATGAAAATAATGTGGCTTAAACAAGTACTATGAGTTTAATGCATTGAATTACTTGATCATTAATTTGATATTTTGTGAAATTTTTACGAATCGAAAGGTGAATATGAGATTTAAATCATATAGTAAAATCCGATAAATTGATATAATGTGTAGAGAAATATGTAATGATTATTGCAGTTATAAATGAATTCTTAGAACCAAAATTTCGTTTAACTAAGGTTGATTTGCATAGAGATATGGAATTGAATTAGTTAAATAGGTTCAATGAGAACTCGAGAGGGATAAATTGAATACAATAGGAGAATTCAACCGAACATTACATTAGATTATGAATTTTGATTTAAGACATTTAAGACATAAATGTGATCAATAGGTGAAATTAGTTTACCCTAATATCTGTTCATTATTTAATTTCTAAATTGATCTTTGTGTGCATCGACATATTCTTACATATTTAGGTTAAAAATCACAACAAATTGCAATTTTTCTTTGTGTAATGAAATAGGAGTTAGAATTATCAGATTAAATACTAAACTATAGTCCTTATAGAAAACGACAATTCGAACTTAAAGGTCCATTATATTACTTATTACGACCTGTATGCTTGCGGATATAAAAACCCAAGATACATTCATCATCATTTTTTCCTTATTTTTGACAACTGAATAATAACACTATAACATACCAAAGTCAAGGTCTTTTCAACTGTTTCTTCTGTAGATCTTTCATTGTGATAAAATCTTGCAAAAATGTATATAAGTAATAAAATGATGTATAGTCCCCATAAGAATTGAGAATTTAACCAAAATTCAAGCAAACCTAACTCTACACTAAACATACAAATTTTAAAGATTGATTGGTTTATGATCTTTCACTACTTCAAAGACGCCAAATAGAACAAGAGTCTTCAAACATCAGACTCAGATAAACAAACTTTCATAATGACCCCTTTCTTTTCATTTATGGCGCTCAGGTCAAGACAAGATATATGTTGATGTCAGTGTTATTTATTCAATACATTTATTTACCAATACGTGAGTATATTGGATGTTGTTAGTGTGGTTGAAACAATATCATAAACACGGTGTTAATACATGGCCTTAACTTTTAAGCAGTCAAAGAAAATTTGCAATAAAGTTCATTCTTCTTCCTTTTTTTATTTCTTTCCTTTTTTTTTTTTATCAAACTATATATTGTACAAAAAGAACCAAATAAGTATGAATATATAAGACTTTATCCTGCCAACCCCCATTCCGCATGCCAATAGCTTTTTTTATGCCTTCTTTACTCGTGGACGCCAACTACTGTGCTGCATCACTACAAAAAGAAATGTAATATAATGGATATATGGTGCTTGTTTGGTAGGAATTTTGATAATTGATTTTTTGACTGTTAGAGATAAAACGGGTCTTACCTGTGAGAGAAAAATTCAAAAATGACGGCTAGAATAGTGAAATAACTGTCAAAAAATTTATTTTAATTGACTTTTAAGTTGTACCAAACAAGCTCATGACAAATTCTTTCTTTTTACTCCTCCTATTCTAGTTTTTTATATGTAAAATTGTAATGAGAGGGCACACGCACACTACTTTCAACCAATAAGCTAGCATATGCTATTTGGATACCAGTTCTTTAGTGTAACATTTCACGCTGGCTATATTTAAGGATACGATGAAGATTGGGCTATTAGAATTTTAAGGCTATAATTGAAATAGGGGCCTAGTCTAA